GCACTGGATCAAAAATGCATGTTTAAACGTGTTCTGGGCTTTAACCAGGTCTCAACCAGTATGTAAGCCCGAGTTGACCAGAATGCACACGTTCAGACAAAATGCCCCCATATATTGCGATAGCGGCAGCTATATAAACAAATAGACGGAAATACGTGCACGATGGTCCGCAGTGTGCTGACAGAGCCGAGTTCCTGATGGTGACAAAATATCGCCCAAACTTTTTTTTTTATCTTGGCTTGCGAAACCGCGTCACTCGTCAATGGAAAGGAAAAAGATTGAAATGACGGCTGACAACCGGCAAACTTCATTATTTCCACTTCGATGACGACATCGTGTTTATAATAGCGAATGTCGTGCAAGTGATGCAGTGGCTGTTTGATTTCGCCTGCGCGTGCAGGAAAGTTGTCTTGCAGCTGCACCTAACGAAACAGATTGATTCTTGTAGGCCCGAAACTCATCAAGAATGCTCTCACTCCATGAACGTTTCAGCTCTATTCGGAGTGAGCTGTCGCAGTGCCCCAATTCTAATAATTTACGGGAGCTTATAACCTTTAGGGGAAACATTCAAAGGGCATGAAGAAACGGCGTGCGGTAGGTTGCAGTAGGACTCTAACCAGGAAGGTCTTTCAGGGCGTGACAAGCTTTTTGAAAACGGTCTTTTGCATGATATAGGGGCAGATGCGGGAACCACAGAACCATGTTCAATTTTTCCTGAACGGCCCTCTGAATACCAGAAAAGGAGGTCCCTAGTTCGATTCCTCGTGGTAACAAATTTTTGCATTTCGAGTTGACGTGCCAAAATTCGCAAAATGGAGTTAGAACCAACCAGAACAATCAGAACTCCATTTTGCGCGAATTTTGGAACGTCAACTCGAAATGCAAAAATTTGTCACCAAGAGGAATCGAACTAGGGACCCCTTTTCTGGTATTCAGAGGGCCGTTCAGGAAAAATTAAACATGGTTCTGTGGTCCCCGCATCTGCCCCTATATCATGCAAAAGACCGTTTTCAAAAAGCTCGTCACGCCCTGAAAGACCTTCCTGGTAAGTCAAACGAGGACATCAAAGTTGCTCAGCTCTCTCGGAATATCTTTCTCTCCGTGAGGTTTACTGCCAGACACTGTATGTCCATTCTTCCTTTACCACTGAGCGTCAGTTTTTTTTCGTTTCATTGAACCTGACACTTCTCCCGATGACTCCGTCGAATCTATGTGAGGTTAACCGTTCGTCTTGCTATATTGGACTGAGTTCTTACCGTCTGTTTTCGAAAGAGATAATTACTTCTTTTCGACTATTCAGTAGCGATTTCGTTTAGTCAGAGTCGTGGTGGTGGAAAGGAATGGGAGCCCAAAGTGGTGGTGAAAGGAGATATTCTTGAAACTGGCAGGAAATTGGTTGAACTTGCCCCTTGAAGGCAGAGTTCACGATGGGAAGGCAACCCATTGACAATCAACAGAGAGGTGGTCGGTGGTACAGGGGACGAAGAAAAAACAACGAAACGGCCCGTTATCCGAGGGATGGAACACGTTCTTCGCTCTCCGCGCTGATGCGCTGAATGCGAAAATCCTTCAGTCTGGCTACCTCTCAACGATAGCGCTCTCTCTGCTTATAACGGCGAGAGTCAAGACGCCGAAGGAATCAGCTATGTGAGGGCGTGCAGAGGCGTGAGCGGCGCGACCATGGCTGTGCTAGGCCGCTAAGGCTTAGTATAACACTACGAATCGCGCCATTCCTTTGCTTTGGCTTTGCGACCTTATCGTTACGTACATCCTACAAGGTAGGAAGTAGGATCCTACTATATATAAGCGGCTAGCGTGTGTCTGTTGGTGTGTGTGTGTGTGTGTGTGTTTGACCGGAAATTCATAGCTCGAGTCACAGTAATGATAGCGCAGTGGTTCTTACATATGTTATAGGGGGTGGGATGGGGACACAAGTGGTACGTGATAGGAACTGATAACGACTGATAATAGCTGATAAGAGGGGCTAGAAAGCGAGCATCGCCAATTTCGTTTTGTCGTTCATATTGGTACTAGAGCGTCTATACTTACAAGTGTTATGTGGGTGGTCCCGGGACATTGGTGGTACATGAATGAAAGCGATAGCAACTGATAAGGGCTGATAAGATGCGTTAGAACGCAAAAGTCGTCGATTCCGTTACCTGGCTCGCGTTGACACCAGAGCAACCATACTTACAAGAGTATGTGGGATGGGACGGGGACATTGTTGGTGGGTGATTGAAAGTGATTACAACTGATAAGGGCTGATAAGGGGCGTCAGAACGCAAAAGTCGTCAATTCCGTTACGTAGCTTGCGTTGACACTAGAGCGTCCATACTCGCAGGTGTCATGTGGGGTGGGACGGGGACATTGTTGGTGGGTGATTGAAAGTGATTGCAACTGATAAGGGCTGATAAGGGGCGTCAGAACGCAAAAGTCGTCGATCCCATTAGCGCTGACGCTATAGCGTCCGAACTTACAAATTCTATTTGTAGTGGTATGTGCTCATTGTATCATTGTATGACCACCTTACTTAATAGCAGTCGATTGCATAAACTCAATCAAGTCTTCAGCAAATGATAAGTTTCATTTCTATCAAGAAAGCCCAAACTCATTAAACCGCTAATCCTTTCGGGGTTCTAAATAATGGTGAATGTAAATAAATGATAAGCCTTAGCTCCTCACTTATGTAAATAGGCATATTTCATTTTCATTTTGAGACTGACAGCAATCCTATTCACCGCTAAATTATCTGAATTCAAGAAGAATGCTGGATGTTTACAGTTGTGAGATAATTATGCCAGTTCAGCTCCAGACGTTATCATTCTCGATGGACTTCAGCGAAACTGGGAAAGGTCTAACACATTCTATAGTGAGGTGGCTAATGGAGGACCTCATGCTGATAATTCCATGGGTCTTTCAGTTTCACTAAAGCCTGCCGTGTGATGCGCGCGATAGCGGGCGGAGCAAAACTGGTGTAAGTATAACG